ATTGGTGAGCCATTGCATACTAGAAAAATGCAGTTGGATCCTCTGAATATTGGTGAAGCAAGAGTAAAGGTTGAGATACTTTTGGATGACAAACTGCCGGAAACGGTGGAAATTGAGGACGATTGCTGGCAGGTTATAAAGGTAGAGGTTGCTTACACTTGGATTCCCGCACGATGTACCCACTGCAGCAAATTCGGTCATATGCGGTCACATTGTCCCTCCCACCGGAACCTACATCTCGCACCTTATCCAAATCATGCTCTTCCTCGCAGTTATGCTGTCGTTGTCTCTCCCAACCCCGATACCCCTACAGTACCCCAAACTCCTCAACCACAAGAGTCAACGACCTTACTGTCATCTAACTACTCAAGTACACTTGCTAAACCTAACTTGAAAATAGACAGACCCCGCTAAATGTCCAATATCTTTAATCCGATATCATTGATACCGTCATACCAGAGCCTAATCCAACCTCTTCAAAACCCCTAATAACTGATCCTAGAATACCAATTTCTCCTCCATATGCTAAGAGTGGTTGGCTCAACTGGTAGGTGGATATGCGCAAAGAGTGCTCCACTCTAGGTTTGAACCTCACCCTTGGCAAAATCACATATTTTCAAAAAAAAAAAAAAATTCTCCTCCCATCACCACCTAATGTTCACTCCCAGTATAAGTATTCCTTTGAATCTAAGGAAGAACTTGTTAAAGAGGCACAACGTCTACTTCGATCTAGATTAGACTCTTATCCCATAGACCCACTCAACCACGTTGCGGTTAGGAAGGGTCGTAAAGATGACGACCTAGTTACAGAACCACAAAGAACTCTTGCCCTCTTTCTTCCACTACTGTCACAACCCATGAAGCCCAACATTCTTTACGTAAGGTCACAATTCCTCTGGATCCTTCAGACTTCGCATTAGTCGGAAATCCCGAAAGACGAACGACATTCTTCACTAATGTTTACCATGCAGGACCGACCACTCGCAAGACGCGTTGATTACCATCTACTAATTATTCTCAATCTTCTTTGAGTTTGTTACTATAAATATTGGTTATGATATCTGTACTCAGAGATGCTCTTGATCTCTTTTGTAAGAACATTATATATACAGTTAACCAAAAAAAACATAACAGTGGCTCTAGAGAGAGAGATACACTCCAAAGAGGGAGAGAAAGAGGGCAAAACAGTAACAAATAAGGAGAGAGAAGCAAAACTGTAATATGATAAATTTCTGTTTATTTTTAATTTTTAATATTTAATGAAAATTTAATTAATTATCCTGTAACTCAACGCAAATTTATATTGTTGGGCTTGTCAGACTAAGCCTTTGAACATTATTGGCCCAAACAGTTTCACATGCTGGACTATTTGTAAGCCCGTGTTTATTGGGCCATTACCGATCCAATTTATATTTAACTCGCTATTAATTTTGTGTAGTATCACTGAAGATTTGATAAATGCTTGTTTTGATTTTTTAATCTTTAAAATTTATTTAACCATGTTTTTTCAGTGCATAAAAGTGGCCAAAACATTATTATTTGTTTGGACCATAATAAGTAATAAATATGGCATTTTTCCTATCCTAAATTTTTTTATGCATATATTAAAGTAATACAGTTGATTATTTTTACATGTAAATAACATATTATTAAAATTTGTATATAAATTATTTTTAAAGTTATTTAATATTTAGTAAATTTATTTAAATTGAATAAAAAAATTATTTTTAACTTTATTAGATGTTTCATTTTGTTAAATAAAATATTTATTTAGTCATTTAATACTTAATAAAATTATTTAATAAAAAATAATCGTAAATAAAATCGTATTTTTTGTAATCTTGTAAAGTCATAATTATAGTGGAAAATTATTTTTTATAATAAAAAATTCTAGAAAAAACTGCTTGCGAATTATGATTTAGTTTTAAATATATTAAGAAAATCATCTTTTCCATTTATTTTACAACTGAGAGATTACACTTTTTTTTCGTTGGTATATTGTTATTCTAATATTCTTACTCAAAATTAGAACCTAAAATTCAAAATACATAGAAGAATAACTGGATTAATAAATTTTTAATATTTCTTTTTCATTTCATGTAAATTAACACCGAATTGAGTACAAAATCAAACATATCAAATCTATCGATCGAATATAATTTTATTCAAACCAAATTAACTTTAAATTGAATGAAAAAGAAAAAAAAAATTAATATTTTTATATGAACTAAAAAAATATAACTTTACTAAACTGGAAATTCTAAATTAAAAAAAAACAACAACAATATAATTGAAATATAACCTAAATTCAAGTTAAATTGGACGCACATGAAAACGGAAATTAAGTTAAATTGGACGCACATGATGATGCAATCAAATAGTTTTCATCATATGACTCCAACGATATACCATACCCGTAATTATGCATACTAATTTCCTCAAGGGTCCAAAGATTAATTAGTACCAATTGATTATTCCTTATTTCCTTTAATTATATATAATCATACCACCAAAACTCATCATTTCAAAGAATTTTTTTGACCAGAAGAAACATGATTTCGAAACCCCACCTTTTAATATATATATACTTTTAATCTTGATTTATTTTTTTCAGAAAATGGAAAAAGTGTGTGAATGGATGGCTGTGAAAGCTTAGCAAGGCATGCATACACATAAAAGGAAAACATTTTAAGTATTATAAATTAATATTATTGAATATAAGTATAATTGAAAACCTCATAATTTATCCATTCATCCCATATTTTATTTTGGTGGATATATAATCGATTACGAATCTGTGCATAACGCAACAACAAACTGAATATACTGAAAATGACCCATGGACCCATTGAATATATGAAATCTGCTCTAGAGAAAGGGCAAAACCCTTGCCCTCGGAATTTACATATATATCATTTTCGTATTAATAATATATATGAGATATATAGTTTATAACATCTTTACATCCTTATAAAAAAAATATGATATGTATATAATGTCTATCCCAATAAAACCAAATTAATATATACATATTTATATATTATTTTGTTATTAATATTTCAACAATAGTTTTTCCTATTTGCGGTGAATCACATGCACACGCAGACGCACATATGCATATGCTGAATCACAAACTAACATAACATATTTTCATCCCTACTTATAAACTAAAAACTACATAAGAGGTATTATTTCCATGATGAAGGATAAAATCGTCGGGCATAATGAAATATTTAAATATACGATCTTGCAATTTCCGGCAACATTATCAATGTTTTTTTTTTTTGGTAAAGAACATTATCATTGTTGAACACGGAGGAGCCAAAATATATTTTTTAGTATACTTTGTAAATTATTTTTTCTTGAATATTTTGCAATAACCACTTAACTCTGCAAAACAAATGAGAAAAGGATTTTAGTACCTATATTCATATTTAATGGTGTTAATTATCTTTATTTAAGTTGATATGGTGCAAAATTATTTAATTTTATGTACCTTTACTATAAAAAAAATATATCGCACTAATGAGCTTAATATGTTCAAATAAAATAAAGCTATGGTGCAGTGTAAGCTTTTTTTTTTTTTTGTAAACTATAATTGAATATCTGAATCGATTAGACCCATCGGATGTATAACAAGAAGAAGCGTTGCTTTTTTGGCTTTACACTTTTTAGGTATTTTCTTTTTTTTATAAGCGTGATTTATACTTTATTAATTTTCCCATCATTAGTTTTGAGGAGGAACCATAATTGTCCCAACATGATTTCTTGGGTTTTCTCGTGAGATTCTAGTGGATGAAATCATGGTGTATCTTTCTCTTTTTCACCCCCAATACACATACACATACAAATATATATATATATATATATATAATGTTCTAGAATTATATATTTCTTACAATTGATCATAGATATGGTATCGACGATCTAATATTTCATATACAATTCTATGACAATATATATGTTGACATTATATAATAATATATGATCCAAAAAAAATCCCATGTCAAATAAAATAACAAATTCATTAACAATTTAAAAATATTTAAAACACTTCTTGATGTTTTTTTATAATCTAAAAGTTCAACGGGTATTTTCTATAATTATATCTTCCAAAAGATCGGGCAGTCCGAGTAAATACCCCTCCTGACGTTTGGATTTGAATGTGTACTTCTCGATATTACTAAGTGGAAATATCATTTGTTTTACTAGATGACTTTTTAAATTGGGATTATTATTTTAAAATTTGGGGGCTTTGGTTTATAATAAATAATATCTTTTTTATTATATTAATTTTTTGAATTGATTCAAGTTTTATTCATATTATTCATGGATTCGGGTTTTTATGAAAAGTTTTTTAAAAATTACATCCAATATTTTTATAAATCGAGTTTTGATTTAGATAAAACCATGTATTATTTCATTACGTTTTATGTGATTTACGTACCTACACGGCTAATTTTTATCATTATCATTCGATACACCAAAAGTAGGTGTAATAAATTAAAAAGATGGATATGCAAGCAACTCATACTTATTTTATATGATTTTCCTTTTGTAAAAAGCGTATTGTACTCATTATACTATAAAATAAAGTACTATAATTTGAATTTGCATATATCCACAAAAAAATTTACGAATGTTTTAAGAAAAAAATAAGACTATAAAAAAATACTTGGAGGAAAAAATGAAAGCAAAAAATACACGATTATATAAAAAAAATACAGGAAAAGTGTATATTCCCATTTGCCCATTTGCCACCTTACTAATTAAAGTGCCACGAGAGACGCATGATACATCATATAATGAACAAGTGCAAAAGGGCAAAGTTTTCTATTTTTCTAAATCATATATATATATATATATATATATATATATGTATATGTATATATTATCACGTAAACTTCATGTAATAAGAACTTTTACGAGGACATAATAACACCAAATCATTTAAAAAGGGCAATAATTGCATTAAATTTTAGGGTGGTATGATAAGCTTCAACATAAATTTTAAAATTAGTCTTCTAATAAAAAATTCAATTTACAGTCAATCAAACTATAAACAAAAAATTCCGAATTTACAACAAAATTTAAAGTAGAAGTAGCCCTAAAGGATTTAGAAATAATCAAAATGATTAGACATGTGGTAAGGCTCATCCCTCTCCTTCCTAGTCAGCAACTTTGGTGGTAAATAATAATTAATACCGAGATTAGCGCCCTTAATCTTGTGATTAGTCTCCTCTTTGGGTACCCATGGTGGTCTAATCGATCTAATTAACGCCCAATTAACACCTTCGAAGAATTCGTGACCTTTAATCTCCATGGAGCCTTTGAGAGTGCCTACCCTCTTCTTAGGGTTCTTGACGAGTAACTTTATTATTAGATCTTGCGCTTTCACCATCTCCTCGTACTCTTTTGGACTGTTCACGACAACCTTTGGGAACGCCAAGGGTTTCTTCAGAATGTTGACTAGGGTTCTCTCGTTGTTCTCTCCCTTAAACGGCGTCGTTCCGAATAACATCTCGTATAGGAATATCCCGTACGTCCACCAGTCCACCGCGCTCCCGTGCCCTTGCCCTAATTTTCAGAATCAGATAAAACCGGTTTTTATCAATCATGCTAAACCGGTTAGTTTCGTGGTTTAACTAAGATCGGGTCCGGTTCAGTCGTACCTGAGATGACCTCTGGGGCCAAATACTCGTGCGTTCCCACGAACGACTTCGACCGAGCGTTGATCGGCTCGGCCACGACGGCCGGACACCCGTTGCATTCGTCGTGGAACCCTCGGGAGCTCCGAGAACACGACCTCCGTCTCGAAAACGTCCTGGAAACGCCGGCGTTTTTGCCCATCTCTGCTACGTTTTCGCGTATCGTCGTGATTACTTTCCTCCTTCTGCCCGACGACGAAGGGGAGAAACATGATATCACGGGGTGCAACGGTGTCACCGTGCACGACGGGGTCGAGCATCTCCGGCGGATGCTGACATCATCGTCCTCGTCATCATCATCTATGTCCACTTGGCGAGGATCGGGGTTTAGGAGTTGTGGAACGACGTCGCATTTGAAGGAGAGGTCGAAGTCGGAGAGCATGATGTGGCCGTCGTCTCGGATCAATACGTTTTCTGGTTTGAGGTCTCTGTATACAATTCCCATCATGTGGAGATATTCTAACGCAACAAGAGTCTCCGCTGCGTAAAACCTTCAAATTTTACAAAAAGGAAAAATGCGTAAATTTAATGAAATATTTCTGGATTTCACGTTAATTCTTGATTCGTAAAAAATTACATTTAACTAAATAAAAAAAATTCTTGATTCATAAATATAGTTACATGCATCTAGGGTCTATCCCAAGCATGTCTATATATATAGAATGAAAAATAATTGTGTCGGTCTATACAGATTAAATAGTATTCATCAATTTATTAACGTTTCAGGTATAAAGATGCATATTTCTGGTTATCCCCAAAATTAATCTATCCCTATCAACCCCTATCGAAATCAAACACTTTCGGACAATTTCCCACGAAACTAAACGAAACCCTTTTGGACATAAGGATCAAGAACATGTCCAAAGCATAAAGATTTGGGCGGTTGTTTGAAATTAACCTTGCGGAGGAGAGGCTGAACCGTTTCGAGGGCTGGCGGAGCCGGGTGGCGTAGAGGTCACCGCCCGGACAATACTCCATGACCAGAAAAGAGTAGTGAGAAGCCTCGAAGGACGCATACAGAGTAGGGCAAAAGGGATGATCAAGCATCCCAAGAATCTCCTTCTCCATCTCCGCCCTCCCGAGCTTCTTCTTCACCGCCACCGCCTCCTTATCCACCACCTGTATATTATATATATATATATATATATATATATATATTGATTCTTGTATGTAAACTGTATGCTGTATGTATTGTACAAGACTTTTACAACTATATATATATATATACACGCCACCTTCATTGCGTACGTGGAAGCTGTCCCACGGATCTGGCAGAGGTAAACGCTCCCTATGTCCCCGCTACCAAGCCTGCGGAGGAGGCGGAAGTGCTCGAGCCCCACGGCCCGGCCGCAGCACCGGCGGAGCCTAGCCATGGCTTTTTTCTCTTTACTGTACGGATACGTGGACGTGGTGGTGGTGGACGAGGAACCGCTCAGGAGGGATATGGAGCTGCGGCGGCTCCCGGCGAAGGAGCTGCTCAGCCAGCTCGTGCGGTGGCACGGAGTGGCGGTGGCGGCGGGTGAGGAGCAGCTTTCGGGGTCGGACTCGGTGTCTCTGTCTCGTATTGTTAGGGTCGCCATTTGAGACGTTTTCATGTGCGGTGTAAGGGGTCTTGTCGTCACTATTTATCTATATGCGATATCATACGATTCCCTATTTTCACCTTTTTTTTTACATTATTGTTTTATATTGTTAGTGTTTAATTCTATATGTTGAAAGGTTTATTGTCCTCGGAGATAAGCCATTAGTGGGAAATACAGAACTAATTAAAAATTGATTATCATTCTTCTAAAATAAAATTGTCTAAATATAAATCGTATTCAAATATAATATTCAAAAATCAAATGAAAACTAACTTTTTTTTTTCAAAAGATTTAATATTTTTTAATAAAAGTAAACACGAATAGAAACCGAATCAAATTAAAATATGATATAAACATTGAATGAATATAATTTTTTTATATAAAATTCTAATTAAAATTGAATCCCAAAATAATCAAATAAAAATTGAAAAAGCACTCCAATAAAATTATATATATATATATATATATTGGGTCACACTTTTCTAATATATGGTGAAATGCTTGATAATAAACATCCATTTCCATATTGAATTTGACGTTGCCATACATGTGTTGCTAATAAATATCTTTTCTTTTTTCTTTTTAATTTTATTTTTGGTAATATATTTATTCTGTTTGGCACTTTTAGGATACAAACATAAAGAGAATTGATGAGATGCACATGTCAGGCATGCTCGTCCAAGCTGACACCACCACCATCCTTTGTTCTTTCAAAAAGTTTAAACGTCCAACATTTAATAAAATAAAATTCTTATATAATAACAATCCACAAAAATAAAAATAAACAACGTACCCACTATCTTGTCAGGATAATATTTCTCAGAAGTTGAGATTTCGTAGATCGTCTCCTCTGAAAATATTCTTGTATTTGATGTAAGTCAAATTTTTATATCTTATACATTTCGTATATTCAATTTCCAAAATTTACAAATTATATTCTCTAAACCAAATCAAATCACAATAATAGTTCATATTTTATTTACATTTATACTCATCGTTCCGATACACATTTTGCATTGGATGTTATCTGGTGTGAAATTTTGATTTCTAGAATCAATAAAATTTAAATTAGATCAAATTAATTTCTGAACAGGCTAGTTTTCCCGCTTAATCAGACCATTTTAGCCATATATTTTGATATGAAATAGAAACTGTATTAACTATTTTAAAATTTTCGTAAATTATGCAAAAAAATAATTCTCATGTGAGAGAATAATAAGCCACTAAAAAAGATGATAGGGATGTGAAATATTTGCATATTTTATTTAGAAAAGCATAAATCAGTAATGACAAATAACCAATACATATATGTTTTATATAAAGCATGGACAAAATGTAAAGGCGTTAATTTTTGTCTTAAATGCAAAGGCGTTTTTGGACATATCACAAAATCGAAGGTTACTTTAGATGCTTTCAGCACTTACATCAATGTGTTCTTCCATATGACTTTAAAGTGAAAAATAAACTAATGGAAGAAGTAAAAGAGAGGCACCTATATTTCTCAAAAGGTAAATAATAAATATGTTATAAATAATAAAAATAAAAATAAAAATGTACCACATTTCAAATGGAAGCATTTGCGATGAAGAGAATATGCTCCCCATTAATAACTAAACAAAGATATATTTATCATTGTAACTATTCACACTTTTTTTTTAAATGATAATCCTAAAGTTTTTTTTTTGTTTGAATGTGATTGTATTAAGCCTAAAAAATTGTTACAGAAGTTTCTAAAACAGAAAACATGTACAAAAGCTTGGATTCTCATGCACAAGTGGTAAAAAGATTTCTCCTAAATGCTGAGAAAATCAAATAGTGAGTTATCTAAGACGTTTCGTTAAGTAGTACCAATCTTCGAGGAGATGTTTTGGAACCTTGTTGTTTCCCAGCTGTGTTGACAGTAGTAACATACGCATATTGATCTATTCGAATCCGAGTCTGCTAGATCGTTCTTGATTTTTCTCGCAAAATCCGAGCATTTCGTTCTCTCCACAATAAGTCAATTGTAGTATGGCAGAGGATTTTTGAGATGGTTCCCCTGTTTCTAAGAGCATTGCCATTGTTTCTGAACCAAGAAAGGAGATGGCGGAAATCAGAAGGAGCAGTGGGTGGCGTAGTGTTTCCACACTGCCGAACTGTACGGTCAATCAAAGAATAAATGCGGTAATGTGACTTTAACCCAACTGAGGAAGTCCTGTTGGAAATATAACATGTTAATGACCCATGTAATTTTGTGTTTTTAAACTTCAATATGATCTTGACTACAATGATGGAAATGAGTTTATTATGGTGTTGAAGTTTATGGGTATTTAAGTTTATTCCCCTCTCCTTACCCTATAAATAGTGGACATTTGGTTCATATTTTAATCCATCAAAAATCTATCAAAGTTAGGGAGAAAGGAGAGAAAACAAACAAAAACTGATTTACCGAATTGTTCTTCAAAGTCATTCCGCTGCAAAATGGATTCAGGTATAATTCTTATCCGATATGTATATTAATTTCGAATTGTGTGAATTATGCAAAAACCGTATCCAGTTTTTGGTGAGTTTTCATAAAGTTATCGAAAACCATCAACATAAAGTATTTTACA